GGGAGGGAGAGAGAGAGAGAGAGAGAGAGAGAGAGAGAGAGAGAGAGAGAGAGAGAGAGAGAGAACTCTCTAGAAGCTTGTCTCTCAGCTTGTCTCTCACAGGCTCTGTCCTCCTGGCACACAATATGGAAAGGAATGGTGGCTGTGATTTTAAGGATCAAGAAAATGGACAGTATACCTGCAGATACTCTCCATTTATTGATGACCAGATCCAGGATGTTCTGGGATCCTAAGGAGATTGCTGCCTAAAACTTACTATAAACTGAAGCTGGACCCAATCCCAGGGGTGGGTGTCAATATTTGGTTTGAAATGTCGTTTTTCAATAGTGGCTGAATAGTGTACTGACAATCAGGCTGCTTTGTGACATCTGGTCCCAGATATTCAAATTTGGGGTTTTACAGCTCATAGCAGCCTGGTATGGAACATTCCTAAGGAGTACAAATATCATGTCAGTGTTGAAAAGAGTTGGTGATGGACTTGGGTACCAAAAGTGGGAGCATAGTCTTTTCCCAAGTGATCTGTGAAAACAAGATTCTCACCTGTGGCCAGAAAGTTTTGGGTGAAACCTGCCTAGTGTCATGGCAATGGACGGGCTATAGCTGGACATGCTCTGTAGCCTCTTGACTCCAGTAGCATGGACATTATCTCAGTGGGTTCACATGTACTAGAAGCACAACCAAAAGTTCCCAGAGAGAAGCATTTTACAAGCTGTAAAAGTTAGTTTGCATATGTGAAAACTGTAGAGTGCTGGGGTTCAGTGAAAACCTGTCATGACATCAAAGTAGCAATGATGCCCTACTCTTGATGTAGAGAGATGGTTGATGAGAGACTCCATGAGCTGTGGATGCAAAGTGGATAGAGTAGAAGGTGATGCAGCCCTGTGGAATGCCTCCTCCAGGCTGGCAATGGTGGTCCATGTGGAAACCACTCAGTGCTACATATGCCCACAGTCAGCTCTGCCTACCAGTGGCAGCATCAGCAATGGAAAAGCCTGGACACACCTCCAGACATGGTTGTTTAGAATGACCGTAGGATAACTAGTGAAATGAAAGAAAACAAGTCTGTGCCAACTGGAAACTTGAGACTGAACCGTTGCATGTGGCATGTGGATCATCCCCAGGAGAAGCAGCAAAGAAAGGTCTGTACAAGTGAGATTCCACCAGCGGTTCCTGCTTCCCACACTATTACTCAGAAACGTAAAGTCAGATGCCAGGCTTGGTTTCAGATGAAGAATCCTCAAAGGACCTTTGTGTGAAAGATTCCTTTTATGGAATTGAACTAAAAAGGGATTTGGGGTTAAGAGATGGCTCTCCTTTTTACAGAACATTTTGTAGGCTTTGTTTCCCTGCCTTGTGGGTGCTAATTAAGGAAAAAGAACCACACTTCCAGCTTTCGGACTCAATTGTCATGGAGTATATCTTTTTGGTGTGTATATTTTTGTCTGGGCACCCCACCCCTTTCATGTATGTGACAGCAAGATAAGAAGGGCTGTAAGTATTGAAAGGCCTGATGGAACACAGCAGAAAGAAGCTGGCAGCAATTAGACAAAGATCTAAGCTTCCCAAGCTGATCAGAAAAATAGTCATATATGGGTGTGAACCTAGGCACTCATCAAGTCAAAGTATCAAATAAATGTGCCTGGCTTGAGTCAGAAACCCAAAGGGACCCAGAGGGGAGAGTAAGATTCATTAAGATGGTGGAACTGTGATGGGGCAAGGTCTTGTAGTCTCAGGAAGCTCCACAGGTCAGGGCTGTAGGTCGAAGAATCTGCTCACATAAGAAGGCTTTGAGTAGGATGACTGAATGTGACCTATTCAGGGAAAGGCCACTGTAGAAGAACATCAAGCATTATGGTGAAGACGGGACATGTTTATTACATGACCAGTGCTTTGGAAGTGTACATAGATGCCCTTTCTCTTAGGATGTTTTATGATTCTGAGCACACTAAGCAAGAACAACATCTGCCTCTGCATTACTGTGCATGGCAACTCCATCATACTTGCCATCTAATGTTTGAGATAACAAACATAAAACAAAGAAACCAAACCTTTCTCTTATCAGGGGATCAGCCAGGCTCACCCACAGATGTTAGTGCTCCCCTCAACCACTCCTCCTTTCTGTGGCACCTTCTCACATATTAAGCATAGACATCTGCCTTCCCAGTGCTTAGAATCGATTCATGTATTCCCATGGGAACTGGGTGGATAGATGGACAGATAGATGGATGGATGGGTGGATGCATGTGTGGATGGATGCATGCATGGATATGTGGATGGATGCATGGAATGGATGGGTAGAAAAACCATGAGGTTTCTGCCTGATTTCCCCAGTTTGCTTAACACATAGGACAGCTTGTTCATGGTAGAACATGCACAGTTGATCTCAAGTGAGTTCTGAGAATGTGTACAGATTTTAGATCTGCATTTCTCTTGCCTGGAGAAGAATTTTAATCCAAGTTGTGGAGTAGAGGGTAAGGAGTGGCTATGGGGGTGTAGAAAGCCAGGGGAAGCCATTTCTTTCAGAAGCTGTAAATAGTTATGGGTTCCCCTGCAGGAAAGGTCCTTTGGTTTGAGAGTTTTCCCTAGAGCCTATGGGATTTTGCTGTAACTGTGGTAATTTATAAACTATGGCCTTATATTTGGCCTCATTTCTTTGGACAGATGACTTAGGATTGGTTGGATAATCTGGCATACAAGAACAGACTCTCTGATAGAGATAGATGTGGCCAAGATTAGCACAGAACTGAGGGAGCTCTTGGATACAGAGGATCTAATGTATGTATAATTTTTACTATCACCTTGTTTTGGGTAAATAATTTTCTCAGTGTATGATTGATTCAAATGAGGAAGAGTAATATCCATTTCCTGGCAAAAACATCTCAACAGTAGAGAAACTTGTGCAGTGAAAGAGAATATTTCCCCATTCCTCATGCCAGACCTCTTTCTAGAGATAACCACTGTGAACCAGTTCACAAGCCACACGAAGCCTTCCATAATTCCTTATACATGCACTAACACCCTAACACCTCTCTCTCTCTCTCTCCCTCTCCCTCTCCCTCTCCCTCTCCCTCTCCCCTCTCCCTCTCCTCCCTCTCCTCCCTCTCCTCC